CTTTGTTTACTTGCTGTATGTTCTGAGATTCTCCCAGGCTGATACTTGAAAAGAGCTCTACTTATTTAGACCATCAACTGTAGAAGGACGTTTCTACTGTTTCTGGGTTTGGGGGTTTTTTTCCCTCTCTCAATAAAGCTTCTATAAACATTATTGCCCGTCTCGCAGTGCACATGTAGGAGAGTTTCCCTACAGAATATACCCTGTGATTGACTTGCTGGGTCCAAGGGTAAGTGCACCCCCACCCACGATCAGTGATTGCACCGATTTACACACCTGCCAGCAGTAGGGGTGTAACGTTCCCAGTGTCCCGCCCGCTTGAGAACGTGAAACATCATCAGTCCTTTTTCGTAGTTCGCCAATCTGGTGCATGAGAAATTATACCCTGTCATTTTCTTACTTTATATTTCCCTAATAACTGATGAGACCGAAGACCTTTTCATGTGTTTATGGATCATTTGTCTTTCTCTTCTATGAAATTCTTATTAATGAATTTTGCCCACTTTTCTAATTTGTAGTTTCAGTTGTTCTTCTGTAGGCATTCTTTACATATTCTGTATACCATTGTTTTGAATGCTATTGATGTGGAAAATACCTTCTCCCAGTTTGAGGATTGCATTTTCACTGTTGATGAGATGTATTTTGAAGAGGGGACATACTTACTGTAAAGTGGTCAAATTTGGCAATCACTTTCTTCTAAGAAATCCTTTTCTACCCCAGTGTCATAAAGGAAGTCTCCTACATTGTCTTCTGAAAGTTTTGTGCTTTTGCCTTTCACTTTTAAGTCCTTAAGCTACCAAACTAAGTTTTATATGGTGCGCGGTAGAGTCCAATTTTTTTTAATTTTATGTATTTGTTTGACAGAGAGCACGCGCAAGCAGGGGGAGAAGGAGGCAGAGGGATGTGGGGCTTCATCCCAGGACCCCGGGATCATGACCTGAGCCGAAGGCAGACGCTCAACTCACTGAGCCACCCAGGCAACCCCAATTGTATTTTTTTAGTATTGTGAGAAGCTATACTTTTCCATTCATGAACTTTGACCTGAATTTCTGTGCCTGAAGGCAGTTCTAGGAATTGAGAAAAACAGATAATTGCAATAAATTCCAAGAAGCAATAATTTCCAAGGAGCAAACCCAGATTCTGAGCAATGAGCACCCTGAACTGGAACTGGCTGCCCAGAAAAAGGCTGTATGATCATCCCTTCTCTGAGTCAGCTGATTCACTTGGCCAGTACTTTTCCACCTTGAGCTATGCCTCAAGAAAAACTTTAACTAAATTTTGCTCAAGGAGTCACTCTCTCTGAAGTTCTTTGGAGCGCAGTAGTTTGGATAAAGTGCTTGCCTTCACTTCTAACTGGTCTCAGTTTCCATTTTGATAAGATGCATCTCCAATATGGCCAGTACCACTAAATCTATAGGCTGGTTGAATCTTCCAAACCATGACCATGACTTATCTCTCCATTTATTAGCTCTTTCTTAGTGGATTCCAACAGAATTTTATAATTCTATCTATACGGTATATAGAGTTACAATTATTCCTAAGTATTTGATCGTTTTAGACGTTGCACTGAATGGTACCTTTTAAAATTATATTCTCTGTGTGTTGTTGGTATATAGAAGTGCAATCGATTTCTGTACTTAAAAATCTATCAGGGGCGCCTGGGTGGCTCAGTTAGTGAAGCCTCTGCCTTTGGCTCAGCTCATGATCTCAGGGTCCTGGGATGGAGGCCCATGTTAGACTCTGCTCAGCGGGGAGTCTGCTTCTCCCTCTCCCTCCTGCTCATGCTCACTCTCTCTCTCTCTCAAATAAATAAATAAAATCTTTGGGGAAAAAATCGAATATTTTTCATCTACTGAGATAATAGGATTTTCCCAATTATATGTTAATGTGGTTAATTTGGATTAATAAATTTTCTTTTTTTAAAGATTTTTTTTATTTATTTACTTGAGAGAGAGAGAAAGCACAAGCAGGGGGAGCAGCAGAGGGAGAAGCAGGCTCCCCACTGAGCAGGGAACGCAATGCAGGGCTCCATCCCAGGTCCCTGGGATCATGACCACAGCTGAAGGCAGACACTTAACCGACTGAGCCACCTGGGAGGTGCCCCGAAATTTTTTTTTAAAAAAGATTTTATTTATTTAGAGAGAGAGATGGGGGGAGGGGCAGAAGGAGAGGGACTCTCAAGCAGAGGGGGCTCAACCTTATGACCCCGAGATCATGACCAAAGCCAAAATCAAGAGTCAGACGCCCAAGTGACTGAGCCACCCAGGTCCCCCTGGATTAATAAATTTTCTAGCGTTAAGCTAATCTTGAATTCAAATATCTGAAGGTTTTGGTCCAATTTGGTTACCTGTAGTTTCTGCTGGATCTCACCCATGGGTCCTTGTTTTCTTGTTTGTATGTAGTAACTTTTTTTTTTTTTTTTAATTTTACTGTGAGCTGCAAGGGCCGAACTATGCTTATAAATTCTCGGAGAATTTTTGTTTAGCCCTTTGTGGTAGACTCAATTAGTAGTCCTGCAGAAAATAGATGAGTGGTTGCCAGGGGCTAAGGACCAGGGGGCTGTGGAGTGACTGCTAATGGGGACAGGGCTTCATTTGGGGGTGATGACAATGTCCTGGAATGAGAGAGTGGTGATGGTTGTACAACTCTGTGATTATACTAAAAACCACTGAATTGTTCATTTTTTAAAAAAGATTTTATTTTTATTTGTCAGAGAAAGAGATAGAGGGAGAAAGAGCATGAGCAGGGGAGAGGGGCAGAGGGAGAGGGAGAAGCAGACTTCCCGCTGAGCAGGGAGCCCGACGGGGTTGGAGCAGGGAGGGGAGAGGACTCGATCCCAGGACTCCGGGATCATGACCTGAGTCCAAGGCAGACTCTTCACCGACTGAGCTACCCAGGCATCCTTGAATTGTTTACTTTAAATGGATGAATTTTATCTTGTCTTGGGCTAGCCCTCAGAGGACACCTGCTTCACGGGGAGGTGGGAAAAAGGAAGAATGGTTTGGCTCAGAAGAATCAAGACCATGTATACTCTGGTTTCTCTACCTAGACAAAAAAGGCAACTGTTTATATATATAAGTTCTGAATATATTCTATGTGCACAGAGGAAGGTCTGGAAAGTTATAGTCCAAAGTGGGTAAGGTTGTTCCCTCTGGGGAGTGGGAAGGGATGAAGGAAGGGTTTTTCTGTACTTTATATATTTGTGTGTTTCTAATTTGTTTTCTTCTTAGTTCAATCACGTTGCGTTGTGTGAATATGCCATAGTTGATGGGCATTTGAGTTGTTCATAGGCGTTTCCTATGAACGAAACCATTTTCATGAGCATTGTTGTACATGTTCCTTGTTGTACATATGCAAGAATTTCTCTTAGATATATATACCTAGGAGTGGAATCGCTAGCTAAGAGGGTAGATGCATGAACTCATATGGACTCACACTGTCTCTAACACGTGGTATTTTAAGTCTTTTTAATTTTTGATAACTGAATGGGTATAAAGTAGTATTTCATTGTAGTCTTGATTTGCATTTCCCTGGTCACTAATGAAGTTGAGCATCGGTTCATATGTTTATTTCTCCATATGTGAGATGTTTATTCATATTTTTTACCCAGTTCTCTACTGGATTTTTAAAAATTAGTAATTTATAGTCCTTTGTATATTTATAACAGGAATCCTCTGTCATTTGCATATACTCAAAATATTTTCTCCCAAAGCACATGGGGTCTTTTTTGCTTTTGATTTTGTCTTTTGATAAGTAAAAGTTCTTAATGTTAAAGCCAAATTTATCAACATTCCATTTCATAGTCGGTGGTTTGTAGGCATTGTTTTGTTAAGAAATCTTTTTCTATTCCCCAAAGTAAAAGTTCTTTGCCGATGTTTTTTTTCAAGAGCTTTTTGACATTTAAGTGTGTTTTTGACATTTAAGTTCTTAATCCATCTAGAATAGATGGGGTTTTTTTGCATATGGCAGGAAGAGCGTTCCCATTTTATCTCTTTCAATATAAGTAAACATTTTCCACACTTAATGCAAGTCTTTGTTGAGTTACCTAACATCCCAAATGTATCATATACCACAGTTCCACACATGTAGGGGTATGTTTCTGTGGTTTGTAATCTATTCCATTGCTCAATTAATATATCTCCACACCAGTATCAGACTCTTCATTTTGATAGCTCTCGCTCTCTCTCGGCTTTCTACGGTTCCTTTGGGGGTAATCCCGAGGAAGGGAGACATCAATCAGGTGGTGTCAGCCTCTTCTCAGAGAAAACTGGGTGATGCGGCTGCAAACTCTTGCCCTCGGACTTTTTCCTTTTGGCTATGAGCTACCGGAAGGTCCACAGAAGATTATATAGAGTAATAAACTGCTGATAATACTGTGAGGTTACTAGCTTGGGGTAAAGGAGGCCAGGTTTCCATCAGGTCTATGGATGGGGACAGCTTGAGCCCTGTAAGCCCAGTAAATGTTCGTTTTGTTCAGAAACCCTTCTCTCATTAGGACTGCTGTTTTAACACCACCAAGGTATTAGGATGGTAAGGAATCCTGCTGTAGGATTCCTAAGGAATGTCGGTTCCCTTTGCTTCCGCGATCCCTCAAAATTTTTGTGGCATTAACAGTAGGAGATGTGGCCCAAGACAAGGAAAAAAGAGTTTGCTCTTGGATGCAATCAGGCCTTTCATCACTGAATTGCAGACAGCAATGTAAATCACAGGGTACCTGCAGCCCAAGGAGCCTTAAAGGCATTTTCGCAACGTTCTGGGCCCGCAGAGATTTCTGGGTAAAGCCTGGAGTGGAAGGGATGGCTTCCCCGCTGTCCCCACGCATTAGGCCCAGGGTGTGGGCCGAGCTGGGGACCCGCCACAGCGAGAGCGCCCTTTTCTTTACACCTCTGAGCCCTTCTGGGTTCAGCCTCAGGGTCCGGGCGGGGGCGGGTCCAGGGGCGGAGCGCGGGCGGTGCTCCGCCTCCGCCCGCCCAGCGCGCTGCCTGCGGGGTGGTGACGGGCCCGGCCGCGCCACCTCCGCCGCCTCTGCAGCCCCGCAGGCCTCGGCTCTCGTACTCCCGGCTCTGCGCGGCTCGCGGCTCGCGGCCCCGCGTCCAGGCTCCTGCAAGATGACGCTCAAGGCGAGCGAGGGCGAGGGCGGGGGCAGCATGCGCACGGCGCTCTCCGACCTGTACCTGGAGCACTTGCTGCAGAAGCGCAGCCGGCCCGAGGTGAGAGGGCCCCGCGGTTCCCTGGGAGCAGGGTGAGGGGCCGGGACTCGGCTCCAGGCCGCGCCGCCCGCCGCGGGACCTGCTCGGTCCGTGGCCCGGCCCCGGGGGGGCTGCCCTCGGGATGGAGGCCGCGGCGGCTGCCGGGGGTTCGTATGGAGGGCTTCAGGTGCGGTGGGTCGTTTCCCCCAGGAGCCCTCGTAGGTGGAAATTAGGAGAGGCCGCGCGGCCTGTACAGAGCGCTTATTAAGGTCAAGGAAAACTTCTTCGTGGACGGAAGGGAAAGGCTAAGGGAAAGACTTTAAGGAACAGATCGCAAAAGAGTCGGTCGGCTTGCTTGTTGAAATGCTTGTGTTTGGGTCAGCAGAAACGGTTGTAAAACCTAACTCTGCCTCTAAAGCGCTCACTCACCGTCCGTCTGCATTTAGGGAGGGCCCCTTGTGCTACGGTGCAGATGGGGTGGCCTGTGTGTATCTTCGGGTGGACAAGGAATGCGCGGATTCCAGAGGTAATGGTGCCCTCCGGATTCCTGGGATGGGTGGCAGATAGCTGTTAACCTCTGCCCTCAAGGATGCCCGGAGAGGATGTTGAGCATTTCCGTATTATCTCTCATGGTTCTGAGTGTGGATTTCACCCAGCAAAATAAGGTTGTCTCTTACGCAGAGGTGCAGCCGCCAGAGTGCTCACTCACTCCTCTGCAGGCTGAGGCTGGCTCCCACTTGGGGCCATCGCCCAGAATATAGGCCCAGCAGACGCTCCAGGTAGCCTGGCCTTCCTCACAGGTTGGTGGTCAGGTACTACTAGTGAATGTCCACAGAGCGAGAGAGAGAGTGCGAGCCAAGCAGCAGCTGCACTGTCTACAGTGAGCCAGCCTCAGAAGTCCGTGTGAATCTCCTTCCTAGACTGCAGGATTTTTCAGGGCAGGGCTATTTCATGCTCACTACTTTTATTTTAAATGCCTAATAAAGAGGTCCTCAGAAATGTTTCTGAATTAATAAATGACTGAAGAGGTGGACAGAAGAGATTTAGCATAACCTTCCACTTCCACAGATGAGGACACTGAAGATTCACAAGGTAAAGCAAACAGTAGAGCTATAGACTGTTTGGGCTGGTAGCTCAAGGAAACAATTGATAAGCATCAGTGCAGTGTTCACACCTGTGTGTTGTTTCCAGTTACGATCGCAGTATTCTAGGCTTGAATGAGTGCCGGAATGAGCAGGTGGGGAACACAGTATTGTTATTCAGATGGCAAGACAGAATTGGAAGGTATGTAGTGGAATATGCACTATGAGGGAATCAGGATCTAAAACAACCTGGCTCCCCATAGGCTTGGATTCTCTGTAATCAGTTCACTTGGCTGCGCCTTAACTTTTTAATAAAATCTCTTTATTAAATTTCCTTTTGGCAGCTTTACTGAGGTATAATTAGCATACATATAATTCATAAATTTATTTAGTCTGTTCAATAAGATTTCACAAATTTATACAGTCATGTAACCAGAAAGTTCCCTGGTGGTCCTTTACCCTCATTCCCCCCACCCCCGGAAACCTGGAAATCACCCTGGAAACAGAGCTGCATTTTGACACTATTTGACACTAGCATTTGGCCTTTTCAGGAGTGTGTTATAAGTGGAATCCAACTGTATGCAGTCTTTTCTATCAGGCTCCTTCCACTCAGCACAACCAGAGCCCCATATATAACTGAAGGACCAGACCTTGTGTAAACCTCTCTGCTCCTTAGGGACAGGCTTGAGAGACTGTGGGCCTTTTGGACGAAAGGCCCTATCACTACAAGACTTATGTTGTAGTGCACCCTCTGAGTCAGCAGTTTTGGTGGAGCTGTGCATTTATCCTCAATTACTGCACATGGTCTACTGGGTAGCCAGTTTGTTTTGGTGTTCTTAAAGAATTTGAAGCAGATGAAAGAAAACTCGCTAAATTCTTGAATGGAATAGCACCCAGATCGGCCACTGTACGGACACTGGAGGGAAAATCTCCAGCAGGTCCTTGAGGTTCACCTTCCCTCTGGGACTCCTTCCTTTGCTGCCAACACTAGGCTTTGCTTCTCACTTGCCATGTACCCTTGGGCAAGCTTCTGGGCTCTCTGTGCCTTAGGTTTCTCTTCTCTGTCAAACGGACCTGTTTGGAGAGTTGTGGGGATGGTTACGTGAGGTAATGCTTGTCAAACACTTTGAACTGCACTGGTCCGTCCAACATCTCCCTCAGAGCTGCCTGTCCCGTAGCATCAGCACATCTTCCCCTACGGGCAAGAAGCCCGCCAGCCTGTGACGTGGAATTGTTGGCTTTGACGGAATCGAGAAAATGGTGAAGCTGAAAGCTTCTTTTAAGGGGAATGCTTTCTGTAAAAGTTCTGAAGACTCAAAACCCAAAGTTTCACTTCTTTTTTTAAAGATTTTATTTATTTATTTATTGGACAGAGAGAGAGAGAGAGTACAAGCAGAGAGAGGGGAAAAAGCAGGCTCTGTCCCAGGGCGCTGGGATCATCGCAGATGCTTCACCGACTGAGCCACCCAGGCGCCCCTCAAAGTTTCACTTCTGATTATAGTTCACATTTAATATTGAAAAAGGATGCCCCGCCTGGGTGGCTCAGTCTGTTAAGGGGTAAATGTCTGCCTTGGACTCAGGTCATGATCCCTCCCCCTCCTTCAGCAAAGAGTCTGCTTCTCCGTCTGCCCCTCCCACCACTCATGCTCTCTCTCTCTCAGATAAATAAGTAAAATCTTCAAAAAAAAGAAATAATTTCACAATAGATTGGAACTGTAGCCTGTCTCCCGTATTTAAGTATATTTCTTTTCTTGGAGAAACTCATAAGCTATCTCTGGCCTTGTTCTTTACAGCAGTGCTCACTAGTGCACATAAAATTGGTTGAGGAATTCCTCTTGCATTCTGCTCAAAACAGCACTTTGCCCATGTACTAAATCCCTCAAAGTTCACTAACAAATAAGTCAGGCCCCAGGCAAGCTTCCCCTAAGATCTGTCTGATGATCCGTAGGGGGCAGATGCGTTACCCCACGCTGGTAGTCGTCTGTTCTGACCAGTCTGTTGATTGCCTGCTACATTCAGGCCTGGTTCTGGAGCTGAGAAGTCCAGAAGGGAGGACACAGAGGCAGGTGTAGAGTGCTGTAAAGCTGTCAGACCTTGAGTCCTGCCGAATCTAGGATGTCATTGGTGAATGGTGCTCCAGGCCGGGGCAGCTGCTTGTGCAAAACCATTGAGGTTCTTGCCAGAGTGTGACACCCTGAGTGTGATCATTTTTCATTGTGAAAACTAATACACCCCCCCCCCAGTTGTGACAATCAAAAAATGTCTTGAGACACTGTCAAATTTTCCCCGGGGCAAGGGAGACAGAATCAGTAGACATTTCGTGGATGCAGAGATTTCACCCCTAAGCAGTGAATTGCTCAAACCTTTCAGTGTTGCTAAAACTGGAGGACCCTGAGTAAATGCAGCTCCAAACTTGTCTGCAGGGCAAGGGAAGTGACCCCGAGGGCAGGGAAAACAGGAAGAAAAACTCTGAATTAGGGAACCAGAAGTTTCTTTTTTTTTTTTTTTTTAAGATTTTTTTTATTTTTTTGCGAGAGAGAGACACAGTGAGAGAGGGAACACAAGCAGGGGGAGTGGGAGAGGGAGAAGCAGGCTTCCCACGGAGCAGGGAGCCCGATGCGGGGCTCGATCCACGGACCCTGGGACCATGACCTGAGCCGAAGGCAGATGCTTAACGACTGAGCCACCCAGGCGCCCTGGGAACCAGAAGTTTCTTTTCTGATGCTTCACTTTTTCCTTTTCCTTCATATCAAGAAATATACATGCATACATACATATGTAGGTTTTGGCTCAAGAGTCACCTTCCCTGCGAGGGAAGAAGCCTTTGCCTCTGTACCTAGTACACTGGGTAGATAAAGTGCATTGGAAAAGGATCTTTAGAGACTTGACCTTTGGATTGATTGATCTATGTGTTCTCAAATGGATTTAGTGCCTGAGAAACAGTGCACCTAGTTAATGTATGATTTTAAGATAGTTCTCGCCAGAAACTTCTGGCTCCTAGGCTTTCCTCTCCCCAGCTCTTGTCATTTGTGGTAAAAGTGCTAAGCTCTTTCTAATAATACCGTAGAGTACTCTTGGTTCTCTCAGTTTCTCTTTTTTTTCCCCAAAGTGGAATAGATCTTGCCCAGGTTGATGTGGGGCCGCTCCCACAGTCTGCCGTCTGGGGATGGCTTGGCTTCTTGGCCTGGCCTTCTCCTAAGTCTCTGCGTGGAAACAGTTGGCCAAGAGCCTAAAAGTAGGCTGAACAAATGTTTGTTCTTGCCTGCATTCGCTGTCACTCACTCTTAATGCGATTGTTTGGATGAAAAAGCCAGCTTTAGTTGCACTGTTTTATTTACCCGCACCCGCGCCCACCCCGCCCCCCAGCCCCGCCAAGTTTGTTTTCATTTCTTTTTAAGTCCCAGCTTCCTTTGAACCCTGCGGCAGATGTTTCCTCCCAGTCCAGCAGTTCCGGTAGTTAACAGCCAAAAGGCTGCAGACCAAAGGCCGGAGGCGTTGGGGGGTTGCTCCCCAGTTTCTGCAGCCCGTGAGCTGAGGGGCGAGCGGTCACCCCTACCCAGAGCCACTCCCCCCACCCACCAGGAGATGAGGGTGGTGAGCTTTCAGTTGGAAGCAAACTCTAGGGCATTTGCCTTTATTACTTGTTCAGCATTGCTCGTGTCACTTGGCAGTCATGTGGCAGTGGTGGCAATGGTGGTGGTAATGACTCAGGAAACAGCAGCACGTGCCTCACGAGTCATTCATGTCATCAGTGAGTGTGGAGCAAGCTCCTGGTGTAGGTGCCTGTGTGGGACTTACGTTCCAGCTCAAGGAGACAAAGCGAACAGAAGAAACAATCAAATCTGTATCTCCCGGCTGTGGAAACAAGACAAGTTAGGGCAGATCAGGGGGCCAGGACAGGTGTCTGGTAAGCAGTAGGTCAAAAGATGGGCAAGTTAA